TAAAGTGCTATAAATTGTGCTAAAGTGCTGTAAATAAAATGCCTTTAAGCGATGGGTCAACTTTAATATATCATGCATGTACATCTGTATAGAATGTTCACTTGGCAAGAGCATATATATATATATATATATATATATATATATATATATATATATATATATATATATATATATTATGACCAAGTTTTGGAGACAAAATTCTATGGAGATAACCCTTTCGGGGGCTTTAGTGAAAATAAAAGTTTCAAGTTTTTACATGTGTAAAGTTGCACGGCTGCATTTCATGACAATACAAAAAGAGTTTTGAATTGGAATGTATGAAAATAAGTTTTATATGAAATGGTAAAAATGAAATTCCTCCAGGGAAAGGTATTCGAAGAGGAATGAAATACTGCATCTTAATTGTTCAGGCTGGTATGTCTTCTTGCCCAATAAACCTATATATACACTGTACATTTATTTAGCTATAATGATTCTTCAAAATTGAGACTAAAGTTAAAACTGTTTGTATCTTACAGTGTGTTTAATAGTTTTTTTTCTCAAGAAGGGAAAGTGATGGACTGATTGACATGATACTGGAATAGTTTATGTCCCGGAAGTAAAGATGGTGAAATTAGAAAAGCACTTGGACAGGCTATATAACAAAGCAAGATAAACTTTTATAGAAAAGTTAGCCGTCAGATTTGAACTGTTTATATATTAGTAGATTTCAAATGATATAATGACATTAGTCACATTATTATACCATAACTAGTAGTAGTACCTTATTGATACAGGAGCACCGCCACAGACACAAAGCATCATTTTTGAAAGGGGGAGGTTAACCGATATACTAGTATATATATAGAGAGAGAGAGAGAAAGTATTGAAAGGAGGAGAGTAATCGATATGTACATGTATAAAGAGAGAGAGCAAAAGTAAAAAGTGTTATACTGTAACCTTTTTGTTTCTCAGAAGAGTATCTTTAGGTATAACATTCTTTGTTTAAGAAGTACATGCGACACCACTCTGATCCCAAGGTTCCTGGGGTCCGTTGTACAAAACATCTTGCGACTAAGAATAGATTATATACATTTTTCAAATATATGTTAAGAAGACAATTATTCCTAAAAACATTTTTTGGTCTTAGTCGTAAGTTCTATTGTTAAAATAAATAAACTTTAATTAACCCTACCTAATGGTGCTTGTGTGATATTTTTGCAAAATTGAAGGCTTAATTGTTTTACATGAAAAAGAACTTTCGATTTTTCTTTCTTTCTGTTTTTTAATATTTCTACTTAAAAATCTGAACAACAATTGTGGTCCCTTCTGGCCTCAAGACCGAAAAGAGTGAGGTATGTTAAAAATCTCCAGCAGTATGCTTATTATTTTGACAAACTAGATCTTGCGAGGCTCCTCTTTGGAGGAAATTTTTTTCTGTGTTCGAGGCGCACCAATATTTGAACCCTTACTATAAGACCTTTACCATGCAGGTTACACATTAACGTACCAAAGTCTTCTGTTCACAGGCACTTGTTTTTGAAACAATTAATACCCCAGGCGCGGATCCAGGAATTGAAGTTAGAGGGGCGCAAAAAGTAGGCAGGGGGTCTCGGGGCCGCCTTGAGGACCCAGTGGGTCCCCCGGAAGCCCCTCGACTCTAGAGATTTTGTAGGGTAAAAATGAGGTCTACTGAGTAGACATTTTTACATTTTCTCTCGACGAAACTATGATTTACGTTAACTTTGACAGTTTTTTTTTGGGGGGGGGGGTCCTCCCTTAAATCCGCCACTGTACCCCATAGTATACACGACCTACATATGTATGTATATACAGTTAAACCTCGTTATCTCGAACTTGAAGGGACCGAGAAAATACTTCGAGATAACCGAGGATTCGAGATATCCAGGGTAAAATACTTAAGGAATAAGTAGTAAAGACTTCAAAATGACTTCGACATATCCATGGTATTCAAGACATCCGTGTTTGAGACATCGAAGTTTAACTGTATAAAGATGGATCAATTTGCCACGTCAACTTGGAACAGATAAACACTAGTGGATTTTTTCGCTATTTTTTGGCTAAAGGAGGAATGTAACAACAAAATTTTATTTCATGATATATACATGTACATGTAAAAATTGTTATATCAATTACCCAGTAAATGAGATGCTTTCGAGTTTAAAATTTAAAAAAAAATGCCGTTAAAATATCTTATAAAACATGTAAAGAAAAGTCAGATTCAGAGAGACATTAATTTTGAAATTTGAATGTAAAATACATAATTTGTAAATATTTTTTTTTAAATCTATGAATAAAATCTTCTCGAGACAAGTAACCTACAGAAAAGAAATGTCAGGCAGTAGTATTCCTCAAATAAAATGAATTGAAATTGCGAAACTGAAGAAAAAATGATTATTTTCAAATTTGGACCGATCTCGATTGAAATTAAACTGTTCCAAACCACAATTACATAAAATTTAAATATATAACAATTTCACAAGAATACTAGATTAATTGGGCGTATAGTTTACAAATTATTTGAACTTATCAATGTAAAAGGTGATTGATCTAAAAAAAAAATCTACAAACAATACAAATATGTGAAGAGGGCATAAAACACGGACCCCTGGAAATTCTAGAGGTGGGATCAGGTGCCTTGGAGGAATTCACAGTCGCAACTGCGAGAGATACGCAGACTTTTAATGATTTTTATAAAATTTTGTATTGACTTTGATCGGGGTCGTTTTTAATTCAGTTGTTCAAACATAGACCTGAAGCTTCAGGTCTATGGTTCAAATTTGAAAATTAGCAGTTTCTCTAAAATTGCACAATTGTAACCAATTTCTTTTTACAATATGATTGTCTAGCATATCTTTCCTAAAATGTAATCATGGCTTGTTTGTTGAACATTTTACTCATAGGTTAAAAAAAAATTAAAAAACAATTTGTTTTATTTTAAATATATTTCTTTATTTAAAAAAAAAATTAAAATGTCTCTGACCTTTCTTGATTTTTTTATGATACTTATAGTATGCAAATGGCAAATTTTAATCTCTAAAGCACTCTTTTTACATTATCTCTGAAGAAAAAAAAATACGAAAAAAATCATATTAAAATTATTTCGAGGTAAAAATCAGTCTTCACATGCTGAAAACATATTCATGTATAAGAAATTTTTAAAGATGCATTCAATAAAATTTTGATGTAGCATTCCTCCTTAAAAAAAAAAGAAATTTAAATTGCATGTTTAACATTCTTCAATATACTTCCACTTATTTTAAAGACAGGGGATGATGATGAAATATTGAAATAAATTCAACGTTAATACAAGATGTACTTCAGTTAAAGCACAAGACTGTCAACTTACAAGCAAATTATTCTCCTGCTTGAGAACAGATAATAAGATGCAAATATAAGAATCTTTATTGAACAGAAAGCAAAAAATAAAATTAAATCGGTAACTATTTGAATTTTAAGTACAGTGAAGATATATACGTTTTTGTTTTTAAAAAATGATATGAAGACAGTATGTAAAATTAACTTTTAAACAAGAGGCCCATGGGCCACATCGCTCACCTGAGCACATTGGCTAGGAAAAAAAGCAAAAATCAGTACAGTATTGAAAAGTTTACAGGGAGGGGGGTGTTGAATTTTAAACTACCTGATGATGCTTTCATATCAATATAACAAATGGCTTTGTTGTTCTTGAGCAGCAGATTTTTTCCCATATATTCATTTCTAAAAATTTGATCCCCCATTGTGGCCCCACCCTACCCCCGGGGGCCCTCATTTGAACAAATTTCATTCTACACTACCTAAAGATGCCTCCATATCAATTTGACTAATCATGGCTTTTCTGTTCTTGAGAAAAAGACTTTTTCCTATATATTCCTCTGTAAACTTTGATCACCCATTGTGGCCCCAACCTATCCCCGGGGTAATGATTTGAACAAACTTGAATCTTCACTATCTGAGGATGCTTCCATATAAATATGACTCATCATGGCTTTACTGTTCTTAAGAAGAAGATTTTTAAAGATATTTTCCTATATATTTCTATGTAAAACTTTGATCCCCCATTGTGGCCCCACCCTACCCGCGGGGGTTATTATTTGAACAAATTTGAATCTTCACTACCTGAGGATGCTTCCATATAAATATGACAAATCATGGCTTTACTGTTTTTAAAGATATTTTCCTACATATTTCTATGTAAAACTTTGATCCCCCATTGTGGTCCCACCCTACCCCCGGGGGTTATGATTTGAACAAATGTGAATCTTCACTACCTGAGGATGCTTCCATATAAATATGACCAATCATGGCTTTACTGTTTTTAGGAAGAAGATTTTTAGAGATATTTTCCTGTATATATATCTATGTAAAACTTGGATCCCCGATTGTGGCCCCACCCTACCCCCGGGGGTCATGATTTGAACAAACTTGAATCTACACTACCTGAGGATGCTTCCACAAAAATATGACCAATCATGGCTATGCTGTTCTTAAGAAGAAGATTTTTAAAGATATTTTCCTATATATTTCTATGTAAAACTTTGATCCCCCATTGTGGCCCCACCCTACCCCGGGGGTCATGATTTGAACAAACTTGAATCTACACTACCTGAGGATGTTTCCACATAAGTTTCATCTTTCCTGGCCCAGTGGTTCTTGAGAAGAAGATTTTTAAATGATGCCATTATTTTTTCACTAATTCCTAATTATCTCCCCTTGAAAGAGGGCTTGGCCCTTCATTTGAACAAACTTGAATCCCCTTTACCCAAGGATGCTTTGTGGCAAGTTTGGTTGTATTTGGCCCAGTGGTTCTTGAGAAGAAGATGAAAATGTGAAAAGTTTACAACAACAACAACAACGCCAACGACAACGCCGACGACAACAACGACGACAGACAACGGACAAATTTTGATCAGAAAAGCTCACTTGAGCCTTTGGCTCAGGTGAGCTAAAAAGGGTTTTGACACTGTGACGTAACAAAATGACCTCTTAGAATTGTGCCAACTCTTTATATTCCTCTATTATCAGCATACAAACATTCTTAACTGTTGAGAAAATAAAACTTGGAACTCCCAAACCAATTTTATTCTCGATGATCACAGAAAAATTGAATGAAAACAGACTGATTTTGTAGTTCTGGAATTGTATACAAGTCATTCAAATCCCAGGACATGCGCACTGCATCACCATAGTTTTTACCATATTCCCATGGGGTATTATTGTTTACTCGGAGAGCCCCCGAACAGGGGTGAAAACCCGGAGAATTCTTGTCTCTGCTCCGACAGAAGGCCTGACATTTTCGTCCACACGAGTCATAAGCAGACAGAAGGACTTCTGTATCGTTCTGACCAGGACTTTTAAGTCCAATATAGGTGGTGGACTCGGTAAACGCCTGCCTCAGATCCACGATGACGTATTCGTCATAATTTCCCTGGTAATTAAGTCCGTTAGATCGAATGTGAATGCGACCAACTGTTCTATCCCCAGTGACAGTTTTACATTTTTCTGATGATGGCATGAGTTCCTCTGAGAAGTATGGTTTGATTTCTTGATACTGTTCTGGATCGTAGATGTCGGCCTTGACGGAAGGCTTTCCATCAATGATTGCGTATGCTTTAAATTTACGGTGCTCAGGAGACCGTTTGTTAACAACACGAACAGGTATAAACACCCATTTTCGGGTATCTCCCTCATTGTCGATTTCGAAGGTATTCTGGCTGGAGAAAGAGACCCACGTATTGGAGCATTGCATCTGTTTGACCATTACCTGGTGGTAAGAGTTTGAAGAGGACTTTGCATTAATTGTCACCCTGTCTTTAGTTGCTTCTCTCTTTTTACGCCCAAAAGGGAGGGGCATTCCTCCTAGCCGTGGACCAGCACCCATCACTCCAGGCACACCCCTCATTCGAGCTGCTCGTAGCTGTGCTGGAGGAGGACCCGAGGAGATCGGCAAGCACTGCGGGACACCGGTGGAAAGATCGCACGTCAGGTACGGAGAACCACAGTTGGAGTTTTGGAAGGAACATGTCGGATGTGGCTGGTAAGTATATATTTGGGAGGTAAACATGTCGCTTATTCCAAATACATTTGGCAGGTTTCCAAATCCTGTAGGTGTAAAGGGGGCATGTGACTGTGGGCCGTAATTCTGAGGATAATCTTGGGTGGGGTCTATTCCCATGGCTCGCTGCTGCTGACGGAATATTTCCCAAACATAATCGACAAAGGCATGGTGAAGGTAAAAAACAGGATCAAAAGCAGACGTTTCCATAGGCTCCATCTGACCTCCGATCCATGTATGTGCATCACCGTGGTAATTTTCAATGTTAAACTGGTCGGGAGCAGCGGGTTCTGTGATTTGCCCCATTCTTGTTCTGGTCAGTATGTTCCTTATGGCTTGTCTTGAGAGCAGCTGACCATCCTGTCCTATATTTCTGATGAGTGGTCCATTAGGAGTTTGCCAGAAGGCGAATGGTCCATTTGTCACCAGACCATCTCCGTTGCCGAGGAACTGTGGTGACCACGTGACGGATTGGGTAGGGTCAATCATCGCCTCATCCATTGTCGAATCCCAGTATGGTAAAGTAACACCAGGTACCATTTGTCTCAATGCATTCTCAAATCTAAAATCAAATAAAATTAAAAGCTAGTGAATTTTCTTGTAGAAATAATATATTTTACAAATTTATCGTTACAAACGTAGAGGATTGCTACATAATACAACTGAATCATGAACTTACATGGTGATGAATATTCTATGCCAAGCTAAGAATGCTCCTCCATGGTGTATATTATCAACCATTCGAAAGTGAACAAGTCCAAGTGCATCATATCGGTTAGGTCGAATAGTCTGGATAAAATTGTATGGAAAGAATATGTATTTAAATGAACATTAATTCAATCTTGTATGCCTGCATATGTAGATTTATTTGTCATTTCAAAACTGTCCATTTATAAAATTATAAATAAGGTTTGTTACGGAGATTGACTTACCGTATCCTGTTTGAGTAGTAGAATGGCTCTGTGGAAGTTGGCTCTCTCCTGCTCCGTCATCGTCCTATACTCCTTCCTTATCCTTAACTGAGGACGCTGTACCTGAGGTATACCAGTAGGCTGTGCTGCGGACATGGTCGGAGACATCACTGTTGGCTGAGGTTGGAATGCGTTCACAGGCTGAAAATTTTGTTGCGTTTGTACAAATGCTGGCTGCTGGGGTTGCACAAATGTCGGCTGCTGGGGTTGCACAAATGATGACTGCTGGGATGAAGCAAAATTAACTGCCTGTGGTTGTTGGGGTGGAGCAAAATTAACTGCCTGCTGAGACTGTTGAACTACTGATTGTTGGGAAAATTGATTTTGAACAGGATTTGTCTGGATTTGAGAAGCTTGAGTCTGGATTGGTTGATTCTGTCCAGCTAGCGGTTGTTGTTGTACTGAACCTTGGAAAACTTGCTGCTGTGTCTGGACCACTGATTGTGATGGAGGCTGCGGATTCCCGCCGATGATTGGAAACGGCCTCGTTTGTCCGGGCTGAAACCTCTGGGCCTGGCTTGATCCAGTATGTTGATTAACAAATGACTGGAGAGTTTCTGATTGGTATTCCGGCCCCTGTGAATTCTGTGTATTCGATGTTTGTGAATCTTCATCTGTAATGATGGGCTGTGGGGGGAATTGGACGTTAGGATACAGAGAGGGATTATCTGCTTGTCTTTTGTTTATGGAATGAAGGTCCAGCTTCATATCCACGTTTGACATTCTGAGTAGTTCATTAATCCAGCTGACCGTGTCCTGAGATACGTTGGCGTGTTTGAACTTGTCACCTGTGAGTTTCATCCTGTGGCTGTTCATACACCACTTGTTCATGGCTTCCCAGCTGGCAGCACCTTGATTCTTTATCCGCTGTTTTTCCAAACATTCTGTAAAGGACTCGGGTAAATCGATTTCCTCTATGTAAGCTCCCACTAATACTAACACTGTAAAGATGATGCATAAATGCTTCTTCATCTGAAAAACAAAAGATACTACTTATTGTGTAATGTAAGTAATTATACATATATATGTATTGCCTTTACACGAACAAAGTGTTTGTTTTTTTAAAACCTATAAAAATTAATACCTATATTGCAACACAATGGACCTGTCTGGGCATCACCCAAATCCAATCGAAATTTCGAAAAAGCTAACCGGGGTAGAGGGACGACTACTTCACTACATTTTGTGTACGTATTCCTGCAGATCAGGGTCTTTTTATACCTATACATGTTGATCACCTGACTTTTATGTATTATTGAGTAAGATTATCGTTTGACCTCTTTGCTGCCGGAGAGGAGGCTCCAGCAAGTCTTGTGAGATGCACAACTCTGTTGTCAATTTTGTAATATCTTGTTACTCAAAGAAAACACCGTGACCTTATCATTATGTTAATATTGCTGCCTTATTTTGTTACATACCGACGAGTAACAGTCAGTAAAGTATAATTATCATAATTTTTCTGAAGACACTACACTAATACCAGATTTTAGTTAAGTTTCATGGTGGTTTCATACATTCAAAATTTAGAAAATTAATATATTAAAACATTCATACCTGCTTTCGTTAGTGTGAAATAACACGATGAAAGAATTAAAACAGGAATATATAGGTACAAAATGATTAGCAAGTACATATTGCCAAAGGTGTACCCAAACACAGACGTGTACAGTGGCACACAATGTATGTAATATAGACAGTACTGAAGATTCGTTCACACCTACACTGTATGACGCACCTTTAATAAGATACTGATATGAATGAATTGATAGATCTGAAATATTTACAGTCAAATGATGGAATTCATATGAGAAAACATCTGAATTGCAACTGTACACTTTTCATGTGAAATCAATGTAAAATTATCTGACTTTACATGCGTGACTTTATTTAAGAAATTAACATAAGAATCATAACATAAGAATCATAAAGGTAAAGGGGATAGAACTTTCAAACAACACTTAAGATAATTTAATGCAAACATCTAGCATAATTTCAGGTAAATTGAAGAATGTTTCAAAACTAAGAAAAAGAACAAATACATGTACTTGAACTGTATAATTTATCTAAAACTTTACCATTCATCTAGCGATTAGGATTCATCACAGAAGAAAATACTTTATTTTTTTTTTATTCATTTTGTAATATAATAAATTACTATAAGCAGCTTACGCGTTAAATTTTCCAAGATGTTTTCGATAACTTTTAATTTAATATAGCAAGAACGACATGCCAACAAATGGTCTGCACCTAATGAATAACACAAATTGACCTGCGAGTGCACCCAACACTGTCAATTACATGACAGGAACCACCACATGTGACGTCATATCCGTGTAACACTGATCCGCCGCTAGGAGCGGTTGCTGTTTGAAGTCACGTCTACACCGAGAAATCGGGTATATTACTCACCTGGTCTAAACCGTAAATAGCAAATCGAGTTTACAATTAACGATTCTTGAAGATGGTACACAAGCTGCAATTATACTAGTTACCCCATGTAATTAATCTCATAGGATTAATTTCATCGTGTGTAAAGTGTTCATATGGAATGCTTATTCTTCCATGCCACCTGATCCCCCCTTCTGCTTTCAGAGGTCCGTGTTTAATCACCGTGGTTTAATTGCTCTGCTCATAATTTGTAGTTTTTAATTCGACTTTCGAATGAGATTGCTGTTTATTATCAATACATTTAATGCAACAGTTTAGAGAACACTGTACATGTATACATGTTATTATTGTCAATGCAGTCATTTAGCTATACTTGTACAATTATTTGAGTACAATTATTCACCTAACCGTATAGCGAGGTGAATATGTTATACTTCAAGAGTTAATAAATCATCGTTTTGACTGAAAAAGTAGCATTTGTTTTAATCATATGATACAACGATACAAACTCGTCACGATAATAAATAAATTAGATGTTAGTCAATGGTAGAAAATGTTCACCTTGAAGATCAGGAGCAGTTAAAACAAATATGGAAGTCTCGATCTATTTTTGGTCCAATGTAGGAAAAATAAATGATATTTATATATGTTCATCTGCTAGGTATCGTGCATGTATAGTATGATTTCTGAAATTTTAATTTTGAATCTCCACCAGAGAGCAAGCCTAGGAATAATTCAGTCAAAAATCACCGTGTGAAATGTACCCAAAGGACAATATCTGTCCCTGTCATGTCTGTTGAGTGACTTTTATCTGAACATTTAATGTGACATTTTGTTTACATATAATTACTTTTTGCAGATGCTTTTGCTAAATTATTTAATTGTATATTAATATATTGTTATTAATTGTCATGTATATATGTTACATTCCATAAACAAATGCCGCTAGAACACATTCCCCCAACCGAACAGATTTAATTAAGTTTTGGAGTCCAAATAAATTTGTAAAAAGAAAACCGAAGTATGTAATTTTCTCTTCGAACAATACATTTTTGGATTTAAAAATCGTTTTCTAAAGTGGAAATTGATCCAATTTATTCGAAGAAATCGATCAACTTAGAAAAAAGGGTCAGATATATAAATTATGCAGGCTATTTCGATACTGTGTTCTACACAAATCTTTGAAAAATATCAGCAACAATTACCAAACACTTAATTGAGTATAGGGTTCTAACAACTGTTGTTTTTGTAATTTCTCAATAATGTGAAGCTATTTGAAAAATAAATATATATATATATTTTTAAAAGTCCAGCTCTTTTGTGGGAGAAAGGAAATTTTAAGTTAGGGTTAATGTTTATTTGGAAGGCATAGATGCAATTTAGTTGCAGTGTGTGTGTACAGAGTTGCATGAGACTGCCTGCAAGGGATGGAAGCGTAGCAAGTTATGTTCAATAAATCTGAATAGTTTTTGCTTTAATAATGCGCCCATTCAATCTATGCCATCCTTACTACCAGAAACATTCAAAGCTTGGTTTATAAGAAAGAACAAAAATACTTGATTAACTGTTACAGAAAAGAATCTTTGAAATCGTTCTAAAGATGACCTTAGGTCAATGCGGTGGGATTTCTGCGATAAGAATTTTTCATTGTTTATTTTTATTTTAATATAAATATACTCAAACTTTTTCATAAGATGTTCCCTAACGACAAAGTCAATACATGTACCTAATAATCAAAATGTTTTTACTCAATCCAGAGCTTTACCTGCAGAAATCTTTATTCCCTAATTCTTACGTCCTTTCCTTATAACCTCTGTTTTATTAGATAGAGTTCATATAGAGTTCATATGAAGACCTTAAATATTTGCAATATTCCGCAACGATTATTCTATAAGGACTTTTCACAACCATCCAATATGAAAGTTAATCCATTGGCTGACAAATATGCTATTTTCTTTATCTAACATCTCGATACCTTTCATTCTTGACTTACTTATGCATGTAATATTTTTATCAGAATTGCCAACAACAGAGAGAATAAAGGGAATAGTGGATCTCCCTGACGACATCCACAGTTTCTAGAATATGCCCCACTTGGTTGAAACTGATGTAGTATTTTTGTTTAAAACAGTTTAACCTTTTTCTGTTAATAACTATATGAAAATCATATTCTTTGCTTCACTTACAAATCCTTGTTTATCACGAATGAAAGAATAAGAAAATAGTAATTTCTTCTGTTATTAATAAAAGATAGTATTTCAAAAATGATTAGCACAAGGAGTTTACTATGCCTTGGGAATGTTTTGAAAAGATTAGTTGGAAACATGGCATACTTTTCATACATAATTAGATTCAGTAAGTAATGCAGCTATGAAAACACTTTTCTACAACACAAATATCTTGGAACAGTTGATGAAAGACTTTTCATACCGCGTGGCGCAGTGTTAGAGCGTCTGCTCTAGAGTCGCGGAGTAAGGAGTTGATCCTTACGTCGCGGGTTCGAATCCCATTGTGGGACGTTTAGACCGGTCCTTCGGATGAGACCGTATAAACCGAGGTAACGTGTCGCAGTAGGTGCTGGCACAAAAAAGATCCCTCACTGCTCAATGGCCCTAAGTGCCGAGCATTGGTCAAAATTTTCAGCTCTCCACCGGCAAAGTGGTGGCGTCTCCATATGAGTGAAAAATTCTCGAGAGGGACGTTAACAAACAAACAAACAAGTTTTCTTATCTCTCATAAAGAAGAGTTACATGGCTATTTTTTCAATATTTCTTTCAATAAATCTAATTAGGAAACTTTAATTGTGTAAAAATGTAAAAATGGACCTTGGAAATGTTCCCAGAATTTTTTTTTAGTAACAAAACATTTGCAACAGTAAAAAACTGTGATTTATTTATTGAATAAAAGTGATATTCTCTCACAGTGTTAAAGGATACCAATTTAAAGTGATATTCTCTCACAGTGTGAAAGGATATCAAAGTAAGTAAAAAATAATTTATAGCCTGGAATAAGATATAATTAACTTTACCATCTTGATAGAGACTTAAACTGCCAATTTCTCCCCATATACATGTATGTTGCTAAAATGTTACAATGTTTTCAATCTCACAACTGTTAAGCTATGACGTCTCAACAGTAAACTGTGACGCCATTGTCTAAGACACTGTGTTTAGAAAAGACAGAGGCAAAGGGAAAATCAAAGAAAATATTATAAACAGAAATTCAATGTTTTGTAGCTGGATAAGGAATTAATTTCACTCGATCGTGAGACAGGATTTTTTGATATTTTCACCCGTGCTTCGCACTTGTGAAAATATAACAAAAAAATCCTGTCCCACTCGTTAAATAAATTCCATATTCAACTACAAAACATTAAAAATCCTCTATTTATTACATTTTCAACAGTGAAATACTGCGATTTATTTATTGAATAAAAATGATATTCTCTCACAGTGTGAAAGGATACGAAAATGATATTCTCTCACAGTGTGAAAGGATATCAAAGTCAGAATAAAAAATAACTCCTGGCCTGTCATAAGATGGAGATAGAGCTTAAACTGCAAATTTCTTCCCAAATATGTTGCTAAAATCCATGCTATGTAATGTTTTCAATCTCACAACTGCTAAGCTATGACCTCTCATCCACTCAACTATAACGTCAAGCCTATGACACTGTGTTAGGAAAAGACAGAGGGAAATGGAAAATCAAAAACATTTTATTGTTTAAGTATTACATGTAACTAATTATCAAAGTGTTAATATTCGGTTTGTGTATATATTCCCTTTTAAGTCGGAATTTTATATAAAACAACTACTCTTCCAGACCTCGTAACCTTGAACCCGACCTTTGACCTTTTAAAAAAATATATACACGACACATTTTTTGGAACAGAGCTGCTTTACTTTCACATGATTCAAAAGAAATTTGAATTTTAAGTACTAGTATACGTACATGTATATATAATTGACTCTCTTGATCATTTAAATAGGGGTGGGTCCGAGATCACTCGGACATGCACAGCTTGCGCATGTTAAGTTTTGTTCTTGCAGAAGTTTTCATGTTTTAGCACCATTCAAGCCCCAAAATATTAATTGCCACCCTTTAAAAAAATCTACAGCATATAGTTTCGCTTGCGATTTAAAATAAAATAAAAGAAATAATAATAAAAATAAAACAAATAACCCTCCTTTTTTCCTTAGAAAGGGATTTTTCATTTTTTTCTATATTCCCGTTTCCTACATTGAGAACATTTAAAACAAAATTGTCATTTTTAAAATCTTTCCGACCTTGCTCTAAGGTACGATATATTTTGAACAAACTTAAATCTGGACCAATTAAAAGATTTGAGTCGACTCCCTCAGCAGCAATCAGGTACATGCAGCTATACTGATGCTCTCAAAAGTCTTTCTCCATGCTTTCATTTAGCTCTTACGGGTTAATGAGAGAAAGAGAGAGAATTTTACAGTAATAGATGTTTAAGTTTGCCCCCCTAACTAGTTCTTTAAACCATGATCAAAATAAGCTTGTGTGTTTGGAACTCTTTGTGAATTTTTGTACATGTGTATATGCATAAAAATGCAGATTACATTTGTTCTTTTCTCCCAAATTAAATACATGTACCACATTTGATAATAATTTCAAAATTTAATCAATGACCGTATATTTCAAAGAAAAATAAAAAAAAGAAACTTAATATGACCGTCTCGAACTGTGAAAATAGATTTTACATGTTAGACCTTAATTTAAAGAATACCTATAGATGAAATAAAATTCCATTCCAGTGTTTTTTGAAATGAATTTTGTGTCGTATCAACATTTGGAAAATAATGATACCTCAAATATTTATAATTTAATCAAATAAATGTAAATAATTCATTTATAATTTGTTGAAATTTCTGTAAATTCTCTGTTGGTTTTGATGTTCACAGCAGCAATACTGTTAGTTAATTTATAACTTCCGGTTACTTTTTAACACAAAATGGTGAGGAACTCTACAGGGAAAACTGTTACAAATCATCACACTCGTGTTTTAACCTGTGATCTTCGTTGAGATACCCGATGTATAATTATGACATCTATTAGATAGGTTCCGATAATTATGTCAACTTGATTAACATACTAAATAAGATCCTCTGAAATACACCTCCCTGCGGCATGCCAAGAACAAGATCATTTAGATTTCTAGTTCAACATTAGTTAATTCAAATCATATTCGATAAAATCAAATAAATATCTCTTTTGAACAATCTGATATTCTTTTATTAACAGTATATATGACACGGACAACGAATGATATTTATCCGTTTTAATGAGGCGCACTTTCAGCTGCTTAAAATCAGAATTAATCTTACTTAAATGTACCTTTTTTGATAACTTCTACAAAAATCTCTAATAATAAACCCGCTTTATTTTGGTTAAAGAAAGTAAAATTAAATTACTTTTTTTTTTTTTAAATTTACATATCTGCGTTTTAGTAAACATTTCCAATTAATATTTATTTTTCTACAGCTATAATGTGTGTATCTTACCCTATCGGGTCGCTCTCTCAGAAGTTTGAAATTCCAACTTATACATCCAAACAATTAAAATACAGGATAAAAGGACATTAAGAAGGTCCAGTAAAGCGACCAGCGCCTTAGTATAGCTACACACAGGGCATTATGGCGGACGTGCCCGAGTTGTCGCAGCTGACTCGGCATACCAAGCCCACAGATCGACAGGGTTACGTCGACGGTAAACATGTACTTCCGTGAATTAAGCAAAATTAACAGGTACCTGAACCTCAGCCATTTTACCTATGTCCTAGCTTATTGCACAATTATTGCGTTTTGCGTTAAACCAAACCAAAGCAAACTGTCATGGTCTCTTTAATTCAACAGATTCCAAATATAAGATAATTTGGATATATATGCCACCTTATCAATTTTTCAGGAAGGATTATGAGAAATAGTAAGCATATACCCAAATTGACAAGGACTAAGTTATCCATGTGTATGTGCATTTTGTGAATGGTGAAACAAAATATCTGAATTGTATTTGTCCACTCTTGTCACTGTTTTTTTTCCATATAAATGGAGAAGATCACTATATTTAAATTAGTCCACATTAAACGACAACAAAAAATTTTTCATTTATTTTCTTTGATTATCTGGGACACATAGCATGGCGACCACCATCAACCGGAAGTGTCGCCCCTGTGATGAAAGACGAATCATCCGAGGCAAGGAAGGCTATTGCTCTGGCAACTTCTTCAGGTTGTCCTGGGCGACCGAGCGCATGCGTCTCTTTAGCACGCTCCAAAAACTGAAAAAAAGAATATATTTTGGAAGTTCTCCGTTTCAATATTTCAGATTATGTGCATCATGTTGACAATGGTGCAAACTTTCAATCGTATTTATTTACAATTAAAATTCACTTTTATCTCTAACATTCTGTTGCTCACACCTTCAAATTTCATTATTTTGGATATATTTTGCCAAAAAGAAAAAATTAATATAAAACATAAATAAAAATAAGAATTTCCAAAACAAAAATGAAGAATAACTCCTTAAAAAGGTTTTACTTCATTTAACTTTACTTATGAAATTGCCAAGAAAAATTCATTTTAAATTTTAATACTAGTAATACAAAGTTTATCCACCCTCTCCATAAACAATGCCCTACCTTTGCGTATGCTTCTTCATTTAATCCCCCACGTTTCTGTAGTTCTGTTATAACCACACCAGGGCTTACAAGGAAAACGTTAATATTTACATCAATCATTCAAAACAAGATAGTAAACGAGGTAGTCAATATTGTCTATTAAACTTATTGATTTATCTGGAAATATTCAAAACTTATATCAAAGTAAAATTTTAATATATATCTCTTTTCGAATGTTCTTCCGTTTCTTATCATGTAATTTTCTAAAAACGTCAATTTCATGCCTAAATTTTCTTTATGAAACATTCAACACTGTTAAATGTGGATATCTAATTTTTCAACAGAGCACTGAAAGCTGATCTGCGTATGCTAAAAGAAATGCCATAAAAGTGTACTTCAAGAGGGGCTCATTTATGCTAACTATATGAAAATTTGCGCGTAACTAGTATTTCCCCGCGAATCAACTAATTCTTCTCATGTGCATAAATAAGAACTAAATAGATTGACAAGTCTTATTTCGAAGAGAAAGAAAGTAAAAAGACTGATGCTTTACCGAAGAAATAATATGAAAAATTAAATAAGCATGTGATCCCCCCCCCCCCAAATGCGTGGGATAGGGCAAAGCATACTCCTTGCTTAAGGGAGAATATATGTAGTTTAATGGTGTTTATGGGAGAATGACTGTTACATGTATTATAACTTACACAATACTGCTTAATTTTTTTTTCAACAAAAAAATTGAAAGTCATTTTAGAGCTAAATAAATATTAACTCTTAAACACTGTTTTATCATTGAATCATACAATTATAGCTTAATGTACCATTTAATCATATAATAGAACATGTGGTCAACAGATGATTTACAGATTTAGCTACTCAGTGAGTACAATATTTCCACGGTTTTTTCTCGACTTGATGGAAAGGCTGAGTGATGTTCCGATTATTCAAATTTCAGTTTGTGTGGTTAATAGTTTGAAAGTAAAGTGTAATAAGGTCATAAACATGTAAAAACAAACTAATTATCAAAGCCCTACCTCTCAAAATAAAAAAAGATATAAAGCTAAATTGACAGTTTGAAGCATTCTTAAAAAGTAGGTCAAAGGTCAAGTGGAAAGTAACTGATATTTTTTCAAATGTTTTATGACAAGCTTGGACTCCTGCCAAATAGCACAGACTTACCTCTCAAAAGTTAAAGAATATTTGTATATTAGCATTAAATGGCATATTGGAAAGTAGGTCAAAGGTGAAGTTCAGAGGTCATGAGGTTGGTTTCACTGCATTGTCCCAAGCAAAACAAGAATATCAAATATCTTCCTCGAACAGTTTTCAAGACAAGGTGTGACAGTCCGACTGAGAGAGAGATGTCAGGCAAAGGGATCCCAAGTGTTTATTATGCAGGCAACGTAAAAATATCATCAAAATGATTTTAAACCTGAGTTTAGCTTTAATGACTTTTATAAAACTTTTTAAACTAGAAATCTGACCAGTCAGCAAGGGCCCCACCGAGGGGTAGAAATATAAGGGTGCAGATTAGGGGATGAGAATTTTACTTGATTACAAAATTTTTAAAATATATAAAGAAGAATAAGCAACAGCAACTGCTAAATATCCAACAACCTGTAAATAGTGTCCTTGTATTTACATAAGGCAGTAAAAACATCTAAAATAACTCAATTAAATGTATATTTAAAGAAGAATGAAGCATGTGTTTTCGTGTCCTTAAAATGAAAAGATTTCTGCGCGAGATCTCAAAAACAGGAAAAAGATTAAAACCCCAAACTATTATGAGTAATAGACCTTGAGGAGTAGGCAAAACCATTTGGGTTAAACGCGTCAGTCGTCACTTCCACTTGCTACAGAAAATGATCAAAGAAATCAAAAAAAATTTAACTTTTCTTTTTTTAATTAAAACTTGCATCACTTTATTGCATCTATTTCGCTGTTTTGAAATATGTTTGATTCAACCGGAAACAAATACGTCAACTTCCGGTTTTAGGAGATTAACTACGTTATTTTTATATTTAACTTTCTCATAAATATTACTTATCGATAAAGTACTTGAAATAATTTTATGTATGTTGTAGATACTGCAAATGTCTAGAGAAAAGTCAAAGGTTTTTATAAACTTTACCTCCGGTCGCGTGTTTACCTGTCCTTAAAATTAGAATTTCTTCTCACAATATTGCTCCGCAACAATAAAGGACTGAAGTCTAAAACTTGCAGGACTGATAGTCAGTCATCAGTTTATTTGAATCCAGAGATAATCTTGTATCGCCGTTACTTCCAATCGTGATAGGAAGTGATGCAAAAAGGTGAATGGTGAATGGTTAGCACGTTGGACTTTTACGCTGACGACCAGGGTTAAATCTTCAGAGTGTCTGAATTTCTTTTATCACTTTTTCAGCTTGAATTTTGTGTGGTTTTTTTTTTTTTAAGAATTGGACGGAAGACCTCTCATTGCTCGCAATGAGTTTCTAGTTAAGGTCTTCCGTCTCCACGGAAGACCTTATAGTGATTCTATTGTTTCTTATTATTATTATTATTATTATTATTATTATTCTTTTTTTTTTTTTGAAACAAAATTTTGTGCACGCGATTTCTCAAAAACTATTGAATGAATTTCTTTGAAATTTTCAGTGATAAAAGGTCTCTATATGAATTTTATATAAAATTCCGTTTTTTGGTAAATTCGGTTCCAGTGCCAAGTTATGGACAATTTCCTGATTTTAAAATGAAATTTTGTCCTCGAAGGATCTAAGAAACGGCTAGAGATATGAACTGGAGACTTGTTAGAGATGATAGACCATGACTTTTAGATGTTCGAAATTACCATGGTTTTCGTCGTCAGTACTTCCGGTCGTCACCGGAAGTGTTCAAAGAAATTGAAAATTTCAATTTTTCTTTTTTTAATCAAATCTTGCATCACATTATTGCAACTCTTTCGCAGTTTCGAAATATGTTGGTCCCACCGGAAACAAAAACGACAACTTCCGGTTATAAGAGAAAAACTACATAATTTGAGTATTTTTCTTTCCCATAAATATCTTTTGAAGATAAAGTATTTGGAATGAATTTTAAATATGTTATTCAGACAGCAAATGTCTAGAGTAATCTCAAATATCTTTGCAAAATTCACTTCCGGTCGCGTGTTTTTCTGTCCTAAAAATGAGAAGTTGTCTGAGCAAGATCTCTGAAACGGTAAAAGATTAAGACACCAGACTTACACGAGCAACAGACCTTAAGATGTAGCCAAAACCACTTGGGTTCAGTACGTCAGCCGTCACTTCCGGTCGTCACAGGAAGTGATCAAAGAAATCGAAAATTTCAACTTTTCTTTTTCTATTTAAAAATTGCATCACTTTATTGCATCTTTTTCACAGATTCGAAAGATGTTAGTCACACCGGAAACAAAAACGACAACTTCCGGTTATAAGAGAAAAACTACAAAATTTGAGTATTTTACTTTCCTATAAATATTCTTTATAGATAATGTATTTGAAATGAATTTTAAATATGTTATTCAGACTACAAAGGTCTAGAGTAACCTCAAATATCTTTCAAAAATTCACTTCCGGTCGCGTGTTTTTCTGTCCTCAAAATGAAAAATTGTCTGAGCGAGATCTCAAAAACAGGTAAAAGATTAAAACACCAAATTTTTATGAGTAGCAGACCTTGAGGAGTAGGCAAAACCATTTGGGTTGAACGCGTCCGTCGTAACTTCCGGTCGTCACAGGAAGTGATCAAAGAAATCAAAAATTTCAACTTTTCTTTTTTAAATTAAAACTTGTATCACTTTATTGCATCTCTTTCACTATTTTGAAACATGTTAGATTCCACAGGAAACAAAAACGTAATCTTCCGGTTTTAGGAGATAAATGACGTTATTTCGATATTTAACTTTCTCATGAATATTGCTTATCGATAAAGTACTTGAATTATTTTTATGTATGTTGTAGATACTGCAAATGTCTAGAGAAAAGTAAGAGATTTTTTTTATAAAATTCATTTCCGGTCGCGTGTTTAACTGTCTTCAAAATTAGAATTTGTTTTCACAATATTGCTCGGCAACAGTAAAGGACTGAAGTCTAAAATCTTCAGGACTGATAGTCAGTCATCAGTTTATTTGAATTGTGAGAATATCTTGTATCACCGTTACTTCCGGTCGTGACAGGAAGTGATGCAAGAAAGTGAATGGTTAATGGTTAGCACGTTGAATTTTCACGCTGACGACCAGGGTTAACTCTCCAGTGTCTGAATTCCTTTTATCACTTTTTCAGCTTGAATTTTCGTTTTCATTTTCAAAATCGGACGGAAGACCTCTCATTGCTCGCAATGAGTTTCTAGTTAAGGTCTTCCGTCTTCACGGAAGACCTTATAGTGATTCTACTGTTTCTTATTATTATTAAGGTCTTCCGTCTTCACGGAAGACCTTATAGTGATTCTACTGTTTCTTATTATTATTATTATTATTATTATTATTCTTTTTTTTTGACAAAATTTTGTGCACGCGATTTCTCAAAAAGTATTCAGTCGTTTTCAATGAAACTTTCAGGAAAAATCAGTCATTGTATGAACTTTGTTCATCACAAGGAAAATTTGGAAAATTCCATTTTGGTTCCAAGTTACGGGCAATTTCCTGATTTTAAAATGAAATTTTGTCGCCCCTTTTTTTCAAGAATGGGTAAGATATGAACTGGAGACCTATTGGAGAGCATAGAACGTGACTTCTAAATTTGCAGAATCGCCTTTTCGTTCGTCGTCGGCACTTCCGGTCGTTTACGGAAGTGATCAAAGAAATCGTAAAATTTCAACTTTCTTTTTTTAAATGAATACTTACATCACATTATTGCATCTTTTTTGTAGTTTCGAAATATGTTGGTCCCACCGGAAACAAAAACGTCAACTTCCGGTTATAAGAGAAAAACTACATAATTTGAGTATTTTTCTTTCCCATTAATATCCTTTGTAGATAAAGTATTTGAAATGAATTTTAAATATGTTATTTAGACTGCAAATATCTAAAGTAACCTCAAATATCTTTGTAAAATTCACTTCCGGTCGCGTGTTTTCCTGTCCTCAAAATGAGAAGTTGTCTGCGCAAGATCTCTGAAACGGTGAGAGATTAAGACACTAAACTTATTTGAGCAACAGACCTTAAGATGTAGGCAAAACCATTTGGGTTCAGAGCGTCAGCCGTCACTTCCGGTCGTCACAGGAAGTGATCAAAGAAATCGAAAATTTCAACTTTTCTTTTTTTAATTAAAAATTGCATAACTTTATTGCATCTTTTTCTCAGATTCGAAAGATGTTGGTACCACCGGAAATAAAAATGTCAACTTCCGGTTTTAGGAGATAAACTACGTTATTTTTATATTTAACATTCTCGTAAATATTGCTTATCGATAAAGTACTTGAAATAATTTTATGTATGTTGTAGATACTGCAAATGTCTAGAGAAAAGTCAGAGATTTTTATAAAATTCACTTCCGGTCGCGTGTTTACCTGTCCTCAAA